TCAAGCGGGTAAAACTAGACACTGGAAAATAGTAAACATTCAATAGCTGAGAGTGACTATTATCAACATTACTTACTAAACAAAATGAGTAAAGATTTGATTTCAATTTACTGCACAACTGAGTGAAAATTTTCCAATATTAGGATTGTGATAAACATATCACCATGAAAAACACAGATGGACCTTGATTTACAGTTTGACTTAAGAGTTTTAAATTTTATGATGATGTGAAAATTTGTATACTGATATAAATTCAGTAGAAACTATGCTTTAAATTTTTAAAACATTTTTCTGGGCAAATAATATTTGGTACTACAGATATTCCTCATTTAATGACCTACCTGTTTAACAACTGTTCAGACTAATGACCAAGGCACACTGCTTGAACTTACCACCCACTGCTCAGACCCGATTTTTATTGTACAGTTCTGTACATCTTATTTATAGACACTCAATTTCGTTTTTTTGTACAGTACACCTTATTCATACAGTACGGTAATTTTTGCCGATTGTACTGTAGAGTACATTAACTGTAGTTTTATGTTCTGTTAAACATCACAGTACTGAATGTAAGAGCTATGCAAATAAAAGCAAAGTCATCAAGTTGGAATTTCCTTCCATCATTTCTTCGTTCTGAATATTGTAATTTACAAACTATACATAATTCCTCATTTAGCAACTAATTCATGTAACACAACATAGTCACAGGAATGGAACTGGATAGTTAAACACGGAATGTTTGTGTATCTCTCTTGCAATCTCAAATGGCCCCATGTCCCAGTCAGTGAGGTAATTAAGAGGCTGTTATGGCTGATCTCTCTATGTCCCCTCAAAGCCTCAGGCACTCAAAGGTGGGGCTTTTGGGAGTGAGTTAACTATGGGTGTGTGATAACTGGATTAGTCCATTAATTCATTTAGTATAGTTCTGGGCATAGATGGAGGACTTACTGCACAGGGAAGACCCACTGTGTGTGTAGGTGGCACCAACCAATAGGCTTGTAGCCTAAATGGAATAAAAAGGGAAAGAAGGAAGTCTCACTGTTTCCTGCTTGCAATGTCAAAGACTGTTTCTTCCCTGTCATGCCACTCTGCTTTGAAGCCAGCTGACCATGGACTGAAACCTCTTCAAACTGTGAGATAAAATAAACCCTTCCTCCTTTAAAATGTAGGTGATGAGTATTTTGTCCTAGCAAGAAGAAAGTATCTAAGACAGAAGTAACCCATGTTCGCCAGTATACTGTGTTGCTGGAGCTTTTTTGTATCCAGGTACTCAATAAGTTCCATGAGATATTCAATACTTTATAGAATAATTGGCTTATTGAATAATTTCACCCAACTATAGGCTAAAGTAATTATTTTGACCATATTTAAGGTAGGCTTGGCTAAGCTATGATGTTTGGTAGGTTAAGTGCTTTATATAAATGTACTTTTAGCGTATGGTATTTTTATAGTTTTATTTGGATGTAACCTTATCTTAAGGTGAGGAGTACCTGTACTAAGAATGTAGTTCTAGCAAAAAATCAGGATAAAAGCACTAACTTCATCACCTGATTATCCTAACTTTTGAACATGTGTTTCAGTGCATATAGTGTTGTATCCAATGTAGATCATCCCCTTCATTCTAGCACCTCTGTCCAGTGAATTATGCAAGGATTTCTCTCTTTTGTTCCTGTTTTGTAATCCTATGACATTAGTTTTGTTTTGCACCTCTATTCATGGGATGCAGGAAATGCTTTCCCGAAACAATGTCACGTTCTTTTCTTTGTCCGTTCCTGCTGCTAATAACAAAAATGCCTCAGACTAGGTGATTTATAAATAACAGGAATTTCTCACAGTTCTGGAAACTTTGGAGTTCAGGATCAAGGCCACAGCAGGTTCAGTGCCTGGTGGGAAATGGGTTGTGATTTCCTGCTGTGACTGCATATGGCAGGGGCGAAAGGGGGACTAATACCTTTCTCTCTAGTTCTTTTATAAAGCACTACTTCCATCCAGGAGGGCACAGCCCTCACAGGCCAACCACCTCCTAAAAGCCCTAAGCTTTTATATTGTCATACTGGAGATTAAATTTTATATGAACTTTGGAAGCAACTTGACATATTGAGTGTCTAAAGTTGAGGAAGGCCAAGGTAAGTCGTAGAGGCAGGAGGATCTCTCAAATCTTCCCACACCAGTCACCTGAAGTGAGTCATAGGAACTAGAATTTCCCTCACGTGCTCTTTCCCGAAGCAGGAAATAAAACCTAGGCTGTTTATTCTATGACCCTTCTCTGCCTTCTGTGCCATGTGACCCACAGAAAGGAAAATCACATGGAGAATCCAAAAATGATGTGAACAAACAGAGCTTGCTAAATTGTCCCTCCTCACTGCAGTTATTGCCATTAGATTGTGCCCTTTTGTCCCCCAGTCATACTTCTGCAGAACTGTTCATGAAAGCACACCATTTTCCTGTTTCTTTGGGTCTTAATTTATAAGGGCTTCCATCTCATGTAAAACTAGAACTAAAGAAATGTATGTGTTTTCTTTTGTTAGTCTTGTCACAGGGACATTAGCCATGAACTTTATAACGCATGAGGAAATAAATCTTTTCTCTCTTACATTATCTATTTTGGTCGGAGTCAGAATAAACAACAAATTTTGCATAGGAAAAGGGAGACAAGTCATGAGCCTCCTTCTAAAACAACTGGCTTCTCGAGGCTGAAAATAGCTAGGGCAAATCCATTCATGAGAAAGCTTTTCTCTCTCTCTCTCTCTCTCTCTCTCTCTCTCTCTCTCTCTCCATTCACTTTAAAAGGTGTGGCTCATCACTTCTAAAACTGATTATACTCTTTTTACCAGTATGCTCTATGAAGGTGATTCATTGTTACGCAAGCTTCTGAGATTTGTGTGATGACAATTTTTATACCTGCAATTACAACTTAACTTACCCTACTGAACAATATCCTTTTTGATGTGGTAAGTAGAAGATGATGCTTGGACTAGGAATCACCATTGTCTCTAGTTATAATATCACGTGATGCAATACACATTTACAGAGTGCCTATACTGTTCTAACTGATAGACATTTGGTAATTAACAAAGCAGATATAATCTCTGCTACGGGGATAGTAACAGACAGCATGTTAAGGCCAAACTGTCAGCAGATTAAGGTCAAATTTTCTACTGTGTGCACTGTTGTCTGGCAATGCTTAGCAGACTGTAAGCATTCCATAAATATTGTAAAAGATTAAGGATGAACATAAGATGCTACTGGACAGAGCTCAACTAGGGAATTTTGTGAAGATTCAACCTGCATATTCAACTGCCCCGTGGCCATCATGCCATTGCTGCTAAACATAGCCCTACTGCCATTTTCAGAGCCCAAAAGCCATAGAAGAGCTATTCAGTTTTTGAACTCACAGTCCTTATAGAAAGATTACTGTAGAGAAGTAAGTAAGGTTACTTTCAAGACAAACTACTTTCACACTTGTGCATGTAGTTCATTCAATTTAAAGGGCAAAAGACCTGAAGGAAAACATTTTATTGGCAGAACATAGAAACATTGGAAAGCTCATCCAGTATAAAAATTCCTATACTAGAAATGAAAACATGGTTCTAATTTTGAAACAGGATCAAGTGTATCACAATAAAAATTTTCTTCTCTGTTTGAATGGCCAAAGGGTAAAGAAAATATTAATTATGCCTCAGAAGTCATATGATCATCACATATATGTACTTGGTCTGTCTCTTTCTGGAAGCCTGAAGCTCTCAGCGGATATCCAAGCAGACTTGCAAAACACAAATAATTTGAATACTACTTTTATTGCTATCATTTGTTATGTTCTGAACCAATTCAACTCAATATTCTAACTTTTTGGTTGAAATATGCTGCCTTTTATTTCGTTTTAGTTTTTCAAAAATAGGATATACAAAGTATATATTCTCAATGTGGTTTTCAATCCCTTTGTGGACAAATAGTTGCACTTTGGTGCCACTTAAATGAAGAACAGTCATTCATCTATACTGTACAGACAGAAGGCACTAAATTTTCATTTAAAAATGATTAATTACCTGTATAAAGAGAGAAATAAAATAAGAAGTCCAGTTCAAGCTCATGTAGGGTTTGAAATTACTTTTTTTCCCTAAATGAGCAGCAAAGACTCAACATTACAAGCCATTGTGTGGCCATAAGCCAACTGTAAAAGGAAACGTTCAAAAGAACAAGGGGATCAGCAATTAAATTCAAACATATGAGGCAAAAACCAAATTCAAAAAGGGAAAAAAGGTTGTGTTACCAGCCGCAGGACAATGCAGCACATTTCAATGAAAGAAAGCTAATCAATGGTGAAGGAAAACCTTCGTATTAAGTGTCCCCATATGGCCAGTTATGTAACTCGTGGTTACTTTTTTTTTTTCTTTTTATTAATACAGGTGTGCAGTACATATGTTTGCATTCTTTCACTTCTTGATCCTCACATTCCTATACTTCCTGATCTCCTTCCTGCTTGAGGAAGATCTGTCTCTCAACTTCCGTAACCGTCTCAATATACCGATATTAGCCGGCCTCTGATTGCCCTTGATGCATACGTGCTCTTGGAAAATGTCTGTGCACACATACAAGGAGGAGCACCACACTCAGACAAAAAAGAATAAAAAAGAACTTCTAACCTTGATCATTTCCTTTAAGTACTTGGTTACATGAGAAGATTTTTTTTATTTTGTTGTGCTTTGTTTTGTTTTGGTTCTAATCAATCCTTATGAGACTTACCTGACATATCTTCTGGGGATTCAGATGAAATTCTTTGAGAAATGGCAATTTTTCTGATCTTGTTCCCTTGCCTACTCTTCCTAGTTCAAAACATCATGAAACAAAACTCACGTTGCTACTATAGAAACAGCATACATACAAATTCATACAGACAGCATTATACACTATTAAGTCTAAAATTAGCCACATAGTAACAGGTAGACAGACAGACACAAAGACTAACAAACAAACAAAATCCCTAAATAAATAAAGGATATTGTCATCTTTTCCACAAACTTATCATGTTGATTTTCTGCTTGGAGGAATTTCTTGATGTCGTGTTCCAGACGAATAATTTGTTGTTCCATGGTCGCAAGGTTGCTCTTGAGGATTTGAGCTGAAACTAAAGAACAATTTGCAAAACATTTAGAATAGTAGACCAGGTGCTCCATGAAACAACCAGAAACAGTATGAGTTAAAGTTCTTTTATAATGTGGAGAATAGTTCCATGGAGTTCATTCTTATGTTTCTGAATTATGGCTCATAAAAATTGTATTCTCTGTGAAATACAAAAAAATGTATATTATAATACATCAAACCATCATATTTAACATGGGAATGCCACCATTTTACTCAGCCATCAGTTCAAGTAAATCCATTTCCATTTAAATTTATTGATGACATTCCTAACATTTAATTCTTTAAAATCTAATTTGAAAACTAAAGAGAAACTAAAGATCAAAGAAACCTTACCTTATTAATGCATATTACTGGCATTATAAATGATTTAAGGTTAAATTATATAAAACAATTAAATATTTTTCTTTTGTTGCCATGCCCTGAATTTCACAAACTGACACCTATGGTAAAGTTCCCATTTTTAGTATGTTTTCATAGTCAACAGATATGAAAAATAAGTGTTGATATAGACAGAGAACTTAGAGCCAACTTCACTGAACACATATGCACTTATACCCATAAAGCATGTCTCCAAACACTATCATTAGTTGCTTTAATTACCCCAACATACTTGGCATTTTTCTCTCATCAACAGCTAATAGTTTTAAGCATTGGATTCAAACTACTCCTAAATACAGGCACTTTCCAGATCTCTCATGGTGTCTTTTTTCACAGAGCTATCATAACTGCTAATTATATATATATATATATAAAAAACTACCAATATTAACAGTATGTGGCAGAATTACACTTGAAGAAACAAGGTATTACAACTTGATAGGTAGTCTGTGACACTGGTTTTTAAAGTTGAGCTTCTGAAATACCATTCTTTTCATTAATGACTGTAAAGTACAAGTAGAAAAATATTACAATTCCTTTTTTATAAATGAATTTTGTCTTATTCAGAGATATATCAGCATTACAATGAAAAATTCCAGAGATCAACAAAATCAGCAGCCTGGCAAATTTCAACCGACTATTCTGACACAAATTCATCACACTGACACAAAACTTTATAACTCAACAAGAAGAAATCACCTTAAATATAGATGTAAGTTGAAGAGATTGAAAATCAAACACCAACACTAAAAACTATTTTTTTCTATTAATCTGTCAGTTTAAATATCTCTGTCCAATTTTGTTCCAATTTTTAGATCTGCCAACCTTGGAAATTATTCTTTCCAAGTCTAGGAGAGTTTTGTCTTGCCAAAAAATTTGTTGATGGTTCAGCAAACACTGGTTGCTTTATTAAAAGGATAAGTTTGCCATGAGGAAAGTAATCCTGATTTTGAATTTTTTTCACTTAGAGTTATCTTTTTTTTTTTTTTTTTTGGTTTTTTTCTGGTACCGGGAACTGAACTCATGACCTTGCGCTTGCCAGGCAGGCGCTGTGCCACTGAGCTAAATCCCCAGCCCCGAGTTATCTTGTTTATCCTAATTATTCAATACTTTTTTCCTACCTTACTTGCTTGACTGAAAAATTGGAGCTCTGAATTAACTATTTGCTTGTGTCATTCAGGTTCCGTGGACACAAAGGGTTTCAAGACAAACTATACCAAATATGGCACCTTATTATATTGAGCATTTTAATCCGAAGCAGGTTATAAAACCCTCATGTGAGATGCGCTCTTCTTAAACCCAGAGGAAGGGACCATGCTAACCTCTGAAATTGAGGGGACAAAGAGAAGAATCTGCTTTGTTTTTCTTTTTTTTTTTTTTTTTTTTTACCAGGAATCAAACTCAGGAGCTTGTACTTCCCAGGCAGGCATTGTGCCACTGAGCTAATATCCCCTGCTAAGTTCCCCTCAGTGTATTACATTTAGCTCCTAAGTTTTGTTCTCCCTATCACATTTTTCCAGGACTCTACATTTCAGCCCAAAACTTCCACAGAAAATGCTCAGGTTTGTTTTTTTCAGGTCTTCATTTCCTTAGGAAACTGTCCTGCGACACATAAATTAAAATTAATTTGCATTCTTTGATTCATCTCATTTTTGTTACAGAGGGCCCAGCCAAGGAACCTAACATGGGTAGAAGGAAAAGTTGCTTTATTCTCCTCTACAGAAGAAATAAATGCAAGATAACTTTCTGCCATAAATAAAATGGACCTGAAGGCCAGGTTTGGGCCACAGTGGTAACCCACTCCCCTACTGAAAACAACAGGAGGGCCACTAGTAAAAAAGGAGATTATACTATTTTCATGTTCTAATTATTCAGTCAAGTTTTGATACATGATAAAAGTCTAGATCTCTCAAATAACAGAAGCGTATTTTTAATACAGTGAAACTGCTTTAATTCTAAAGTGGAATTGTGAACAAATCAGTATTTTCAGAACACGTGTTCATTTCAACTTTACATGTGCAATCCTTAGTCTTCTATAAATCCCTCCAGATCTCCACTGCACATTCCTTACTATTTCATACTGTAGGGATAGAAGGAATCCCCGTGGAGGGTTGAAAGACCTCAGCCGCTGGTTAGCAAAAGCAGTTTGTGTGTGGCTATGAGCAGCGAGCAGCTTTGAAGCAGTTTTGTGGTTTGCAGCTGACAGTTTGTGGTTTTGTCGCCTGCCTCTGTGCGGCCGGCACTGTCCCTCCTAGCGCAGGCTGTCGTGCCTACCCGAATTCCCCTATCAGTGCGCAGGGCCAAATCCATGGCGACAAGCCCAATATACCATCAATCAAGCGTCAACCCTCAGGGGCGTGCAGACAGCCCCTGCCCCGGAAAGCAGAACCGCAGCCCCAGATTCGGTGGAGCCCCAGCTCTGGGCCCCACTACTTCTCCAGAGTGGCTCTTTACCACTTCCTCTTGCAATACCTAGGTTAAAATTCTTTGTGCTTTGCACTGGTCTGCTCTAACTCCTTTTCTTCTTTCTGTATTGGAGAGAGAGTCGAGGCCAGCAAGGGTGAGTCTGGGGATCCTAGCGCCAGACCCAGCAGACCTAACAATCTGCAGTTTTTGTTCGATACGTATTCCACATTCAACATCACTTTTTATTTTCAATTTGTCCCATACACATAAACACAGTCTCCTTCATAAAATCCCAAGCTGCTGCTAGGGCTCAGGATTCAATATGGCGTTTTGGTACGCGGAGTACTTTGACCTAAGGAAACTAGAAGGCCTCAGACGCAAGGTCTCTTTGATCTTCTTTCGGCCCTTCCATCTCTAGTGCCTGTTTCTCCACATAAACAGAGTTATTGAAATCAATGTACCTCTTACCGAGGTGGGTCAGAGAAATTAGAACTCTTCTCCCCACAGCAAGTCCTAATGCCTAGAAATGTCTTTCTGTCCCTTCTCCCTTGAAAACTCTCATTCTAGAGGAGTCCTACTCTATACAGCACCGAGGAGAAAGAAATGTTAGGGAGGCCAAGCAGAATCTGAACATGAGGCATTGTTCAACACCCACCCCCCAGTGTGTTAGCATTAGATCATACCAGCTACACTGGCCCCAATTACATGGCTGCACAGCTGTCCATTCTTCATAAATCCTAAGCATAAAATAGGCAGTTTTCCTTGAGCCTTTAGCTTTCCATTTCTGAGATTCCCATGTCCTATAAATATAGTCACTGAATGCATTTGTTACCTTTTCTATTCATTAGCCTGTCTTATTCTGAGTGCCTGCCATGACTTACCATGAGTGAGCAAAAGTATCACGCCATTCTGCTCTAAGCTACTTATGGTAAGATACGAATTTAACTCTTCCCTTTTCCTCCATATGTATCACTGTGCTTTATCCAATAAACTCAGTAAATGTTTACTGAATGGATATGGCTATTTTAAATGGTTTGGGTTCCCATTTAAATTTATCCCCATGACTGCAACTAGGTAGAAGTTAGGCACAATCATAATAACTGAATGTTACCTTTATCAGTTATTATATGAACACAGAAAGAATTCAGGACACTGAAACTTGTCTAGAAATACATATAAGATGGGGGGGTTGTTGCTACTGCCTAGCGAATGGAAATGTAAGGAAATGACATAACGAAGAGAATAGACATCTTTATTAGGCTCCTCTATTCTACTCTGTAACTGAATTATTAATACTGTATCTAAACAAGACAGGATGAAATGCTGCACATGTAACAATCTGGCACTTTTGGTTTATATGCAAAGTGATGGCTGCATTAAATAATACCATTATACAAAATGTTTATATTTTGCTCTCTTGGAGTTTGAAGTAACAATAAAGAATGTTTGGACCAAATTATAAAAGCTCAGATTATACAGTGAGATAATCTAAGTCCCTGTGAACCAGAGCCTAGGATAAAAATGGCTCCCAAAAAAACAGCAGTGAGGGAAATGGGAAGAAAGTAAGCATAAGAGAGTAAGGTACACAACTGACCACCCCTTTGGAAAAGATATACTCGGTTGCTTAGAGTCGCAGATTCTCTCTGTTCACGCTGACTTCCTAGGCGTGTAACACGTACAGTCGCACTGGGCTCCATGCTTAGGAGGGCCCTGCACTTTTAGCGCTTTGTTATCATTGCTTTGAAATATGTAATACTTTCTACAGTGGGGCCCCACATCTTCATTTTTCTCTGGGCTTCACACATTACATAGTTGGTCCTGGTCTCCACATGCAACAAACGTCACTGGGAATACCTAACTAGAGAAAGTGCAGTTTATTTACTTGCTGGCTCCTTCGTATTTCCTTTTAATTCACTGATGAAATGGTTCTGTTTCTAGTGGCATTAAGTTCTTCCTTTGGCTGGGGAGCAAATGCCCTGAGTTTGGAGAGCAGAGAGGGGAGGTGGCGAAGAAGAGTGCCCAGGAAATCTGGGGGGGGAACACACTAGATCGAGAACAGAGTACTCCTTACGTCCAAAGTGGCTTACTGTGTTTTTGATAGTTGACATCATTAGAACAATTGTTAGTTATAATCAGAATCAGCCCGCTTGAACTCTTACTAGTTAGTCCTACTTTTGCCTTGTAGTAACATTGATCAAG